TGTTTTGGATATTGGAATGTTCTCTAAAGAGGAATTGCATGCAAAAGCAAACTATATAGGCTGCTTGGTTAGAATCAGATGAAACCTGGGGAGTTAGTGTGAATTACCAGTCTAGTAGGGATCCCTTTGCTTCAAGGTCCCAAGAATAACTGTCTAGATAGTCTCTAATAAACAAAGCTAGTTTCTGGTCCTCTAGGCAACTATGGCCCCTGTGTCAGATCTCGCCTTTCTGCCTGTTTATGTATGGCTTGAGAACTAACAATGGTTTTTATATATTGAAATGGTTGGGAGAATGGTTGACATATGAAAATTATATGAAATTCAGATTTCCTTACAAATAAAGTGGTATTGTAAAGTGGTATTGCTCACTCATTTATGTATTATAGAAAATACCGCTTTTCCTGGAATGTGACGTCAAGTGGGCCTTAGGAAGCATTAGTATGAACTAAGCTAGTGGAGGTGGAATTCCAGCTGAGCTATTTCAGATCCTAAAAGATGATGCTGTGGAAGTGTTGCATTCAATATGCCAGCAAATTTGGAAAACTCAGCAGTGGCCACAGGACTGGAAAAGAAGGGCAGTGCTAAATGTTAAAACTACTGCACAATTGCCCTCATTTTACATGCTAACAAGGTTATGCTCAAAATCCTTCAAGCTAGGCTTCAACAGTACATGAACTGAGAGCTTCAGGTGTATAAGCTCAATTTAGAAAAGGCAGAGGAATCAGAGATCAAATTGCCAGCATCTGTTGGATCATAGAAAAAGAAGAGAATTCCAGAAAAACATCTACTTCTGACTGTGTGGATGACAACAAACTGGAAAATTCTTAAAGAAATGGAAATACCAGACCACCACCTTAACTGCCTCCTGAGAAATCTATATGCAGGTCAAGAATCAACAGTTAGAACCAGCCATGAAACAATGGACTGGTTCAAAATTGGGAAAGGAGTACGTCAAAGCTGTGTATTGTCACCCTGCTTATTTAACATGTAAGCAGAGTAAATCATGGGAAATGCCAGGCTAGATGAAGCACAAGCTGGAATTAAAATTGCCAGGAGAAATATGAACAGCCTCAGACATGCAGATGATGCCACTCTAGTGGCAGAAAGTGAAGAGGAACTAAAGAGCCTCTTGATGAGGGTGAAAGAAGAGAGTGAAAAAGCTGGCTTAAGACTCAACATTCAGAAAACTAAGATCATCACCAGCCCAGGTTGGATGCATGAGACAAGTGCTCGGGCCTGGTGCACTGGGAAGACCCAGAGGGATTGGGTAGAGAGGGAGGTGGGAGGGGGGATTGGGATGGGGAATACATGTAAATCCATGGCTGATTCATGTCAATGTATGACAAAAACCACTGCAATATTGTAAAGTAATTAGCCTCCAACTAATAAAAATAAATGGAAAAAAAAAAAGAAAACTAAGATCATGGCATCTGGTCCCATTGCTTCATGGCAAATAGATGGGGAAACAATGGAAACAGTGACAGACTTTATTTTTTGGGCTCCAAAATCACTGCAGATGGTGACTGCAGCCATGAAATGAAAAAACATTTGCTCCTTGGAAGGAAAGCTATGACAAACCTAGACAGCTTATTAAAAAACAAAGACATTACTTTGCTGACAAAGGTTCATATAGTCAAAGCTATGCTTTACCAGTAGTCATGTACTGATGGGAGAGTTGGACCATAAAGAAGACTTAACGCCAAAGAGTTGATGCTTTCAAGCTGTGGTGTTGGAGAAGACTCTTGAGAGTCCCTTGGACTGCAAGGAGATCCAACCAGTCCATCCTAAAGGAAATGAATCCTGAATATTCATTGGAAGGATTGATATTGAAACTGAAGCTCCAATACTTTGGTCACTTAATGAGAAGAAACAGTTAAGACCCTGATTCTGGGAAAGATTGAAAGCAGGAGGAGAAGGGAGATGACAGAAGATGAGATCATTGAATGGCATCACCGACCCAATGGACATGAGTTTGAGCTAACTTTGGGAGATGGTGAAGGACAGGGAAGCCTGGCATGCTACAGTCCATGGATTTGCAGAGTCGGACATGACTTGGCTTCTGAACATGACTTAGCAACATGACTGCTTTTGCACTGTAACAGAGTTTAATAGTTGAAAAAGAGGCCATGTGGTCACAAAACCTAAATTATTTTGTTTGTCCCTTAGAAGTTTGCTGACCCCTGATGAGATTATGTAGTCCTGCATCAGAATTATCTAAGTGTCGTCTGTAGCACTTTTTAAATTTGCAGCATTTCCTTTGTGGTAGCAGTGTACTGTGCTCAGTTGCTCAGTCCTGTCCTACTCTTTGAGACCCCATGGACTGTATGCTGCCAGACTTCTCTGTCCATGGAATTTTCCAGGCATGAATACTGGAGTGGGTTGCCATTTTCTACTCCAAGGGATCTTTCCAACCTGAGGATCAAACCCACACTCTTGTGTCTCTTGCAATGGCAGGGGTATATTTTACCACTGCATCCCTGGGAAGGTAGTAAAAATAGGTTATGGCTATTTGGGCAAATACGGCTATATGGGCCTTGAAGGGAGGTCTTCAAATAGCAGAGTGTAAGTCCTCATTGCTTAAAGAAACTGAAAATGAATAGCATGTTTATCTCTAAATTGCAGCACAACAAAGGTTTTACACCCTGAACACTGTAAATGAAGGTCAGTAAATTGAAGCTAAATAGTGCAGATGCAGAGGCCCGTATCTTAATTATCTCTGTATCTACCTCACTCTCTCTCTCCTTCCCTTTCACACAGTTAATGATAATCAATAGTTGTTCAGCTGTGTTTGCTGTCAGTGATGCCATGAGCCGTTGACTGTGCGTTGGTAACTAGGTTGTTGGTTGCACTTTGGAGCCGTGTCGTTCTCAGCCTCTCTGGGTGAAGTGAGCTTCCCCACACTCAGCTTTGCCTTCAAAGTATTTTAGGGGCGTGGCACACAGAGGAGCACTCAAGAAATGCCCCATCCAGGTCATAGGCTCTAGTCTGTGTTGTTGACTGTTCCTCTGATTTGTTTTTTGATTGAGATATTACTGACATACCGTGAAAGTCACCCTTTAAAAATATGCAGTCCAGTTTTTTAAGTATATTCACAAGTATGTGAGCTATCTTAATAGTAGAACACTGTCTTAATTGTAGAGCATTTTTGTTACTCTAAAAGGAAGCCCATTAGCAACCACTGTTCCTCCCTCTACTTACACACTAGCAATTTTGTCCATATGGATTTGACTCTTGTGGAAATTCTATATATAAACACTCCAAAATCTGTGACCTTTTATATCTGATTTTTTTTTTACCTAGCATTATGTTTTTAATATTCATCCATGCTGTACAGTATAGCAATACTTCATTCCTTTTCATGGAGCATAAAATTCCATTGTATTTATATTCCACATATTATTTTATTCATTCACCAGTTGATGTAAACTTGGGTTGATCCCACCCTTTGGCTATTATAAATAATATTGAGATAAACATTTGTATAGTATATGTTTTCATTTTTTTTTATATGTACATACCAAGGAATGGAACTGCCAAGTCATGTGGTAACTCAGAGTTAACTTGCTGAGAAACTGCTAACCTTTTTTTTTTTTTTTCTTTTACAAAGTGGCTGCTCTAGTTTACATTGCTATCATTTGCTATTTTCCTTCTTTTTTATTATAGCTATCCTAACATGTATGAAGTAGTATTGCAGTGTGATTTTGAGTTACATTTCCCTAATGACTGAGGACATTGGTCATCTTCTTCTGTGCTTTTTGGCCATTTATATATATTCTTTGGCAAAGTATCTGTTCATACGTTGACTTTTACTTTTGTTGTAATCACCTGAGGGTCTGCCCTGTGTGGTATTCAAAAAAATTTCCTTCACTCTGTATGTCTCAGTATTTTTTCTCTGCTAAATACAGTGCTATAGCAGTTAAAGGAAGTATGGTATTCCAAAGAATGGAGAGATCTTTCTTCCTTTTTGCCTTTAAAGATCTTCCATTATAGAGTTCCTGGGCATACTGCTTTCTTATATTTTTTCTATCCTGACAATGATCTCCTGCAATTCTATTACACAAGTTGGTTTTAAAAAAAAAGACACTGGTACAGGAGAGTAAAAGAATAACCCTCCCAGGAGGGCTAGCTTAGTTTTATTCCTAGATTGAGATGGTTATGTAAGCAGCCTCACTTGCCTTTTTGTTTTTCTCCTCCCAGCCTTTCTAGCCAGTTGCCCAACCAGATAATCTTGTGCCTTTCATTGGTTCTTGTCCCTGGGCCTTCATTATACTCTTTGTTCCTTGGATTGGAAAGAGTGTGAAGTTTGTAGGCACTTTATGTCATTTTTCATGTCTACTTCACGACCTTTAAGATCAGTATTACTACTGCTCCCCTTTTATTGCTGAGGAAACTGTCACACAGAGGTCATAGAGCCTGTGGCATCTCTCTTGATAAGTGTAATGGTTATCCAGATCTTCTTTCTTCATCCTGTTAAATTGTCTCTGGTTTGCTTGAAATGTTTGTGTGGAGAGAGAAACCTAGAAATTTAAGTTAATGCCACATTATAGAAGCCAAGCAGTGAAATCTTTACCCATAATTAGGAGGACTTTGAGTTGGAGAAGTTACTTGAATAAAAATGTGTCTACAATTTGGAATGTTATTTTTAGCTTGCTTCTAGTCTAGGCATAGAGTGAATTATTGTCCTGTTGGAGAGGTGGAATCAGATAATTACTTGCATTTGGGAAACTGCCACAAAAGTGTATATAAAATCCTTGAGAGCAAAGGAGCCCGCTGCAGAGGTCACTGCTTGCCCTGAATGCAGGCATCATTCAGTAGTAGTGGTCAGCGTTTCTGATACATTGAAATAGTAGATATTTCAGAGTGTGAATGGATTGGGCTGTGTTTGGCATAAACTTTTTCCTTTATGTAGTAACAAAACAGTTAACATAGTTGTACAACAAAACTGCCAATGTAAATAAAAATTGCCTTTCTGTATCAAGACTTTAACTTTCTCTTGACAGATATGCCAAGAGTTTAATAGCACCTGGGCGTGGGAGATGGAGAAGAAAGGCTATCTTGAAATGAGTGTTGAATGCAAGTTAGCACTCTTAAAGGTAATAAATTTATTATTTGTTAAAATTATTTTAATTAAAAAATCACTTTGACTCCTTCTGATTGAATTGGGAAGCAACTAGAAAGTAGACATTTTTATTGTTAGTGGAAAAGGACAGTAGAATTTTCTTTTTTTTTATTGATTTTTTTGGTGATAAAACTCCTCTTTAAATTACTATTTTTGGTTGTTTTTCAATATACACTTATATCTAGGTTTAATGATCTCTGCCTGTAGGGATAATGGCAAACAGTTACCCTAGATTAATTTTATGCATTGTTGTCAGCCTTCAAAATCATAGCTAACAAATATGGTAAACTGGTTAATCTTTCACTGATTTACTAAATCAAAGATTCAGGGAAGAAATCTGACTTTATATACACTAATCATATACAAAAATTTTAATTAAAAGTTAGTTCATCCATTCTGGTGCTGGCAGTATGAATTTCTTTCTTTTTTTTTTTAAAGATAATTCTCCAGAGGCAGTTATCAGTAAGACTGCCTTTGGTAAAAATTATGTATGTCTCAAGCTTTCAAAAATAGACAGCCATTTCAAGAATAAAGTTCATCTAAAAGCTTTAAGAGAAAGTCACTGAAAATTTTATACCATGAGCCAGTTTGGGAGACTTTAATACAAATACTCAGTGCTTTAGAATATAACTTAATTTTTGGGTCACTGGTTGTGTTAAACCTATAAATTTATGTAATACTAAAATTGTATGTTAAATTAGAAATTTGTCTTTTAAAATTGGTTATTATAAAATAAGTGTACAAAAGAGGAGAGAGGAAAATAAAAGATGGACAAACATACTTTCTCTTCTTATTCCTGAATCAGTTTCATGGTTGGACATAACACATTTATTGTGATGGAGAAACATTTATGGGGTAATTTAAATCATGTTGTGACTATTTTCCAGTACCTCTGTGAGTGTCAATTTGATGACAATCTCAAATTCAAGAATATTATCAATGAGGAGGATGCTGATACCATGCGTCTCCAGCCAATTGGCCGTGACAAAGATGGCCTCATGTACTGGTACCAGTTGGATCAAGATCACAATGTCAGAATGTACATAGAAGAACAAGATGATCAAGATGGCTCTTCATGGAAATGCATTGTCAGGTATCTTCCATTGGAAATTTTTTTAAAATTTATTTGCATGTTTCTTACTTTGATCTCTTCTCTACCAGAATATAATCTCTGAGGCTTGGTGATTCTTTTCCATTTATGGGGTTAGGAATTTCTAGGACCTAGCCTAGTGCCCAGCACAATATGCACTGGAAACACTTAATTTAATTATTTGTCAAATAAATAAATACATTTAACAATATGTCCACTGGGACATATACCTAGTACTTAGGGACCTTGAATCCAAAAAATAATGATGCATAGGTAATATACACAGAGAAAACCATTGTTAGAAAGAAATATAAGAAAAACACAAATATATTTTATATATATACATATATATATCTTTTTATTGTGTTGCATGGCTTGTAGGGTCTTAGTTTCCTGACCAGGCATTGAACCTGAGCCCTTGGCAGTGAAAGCACAGCATCCTAACCGCTGCATCATCAGGGGGTTCCCAGGGAAACACTGATTTTTATTTAGCTATATAGGTTTCTATTAGGCATTATTTGTTTATTCTTCTTAAATTTGTCTAATTCATGTGACACATATTTTCATGTGAAAATATGCTACATTTTCAGTTTTTCCTGTGCATACATTTCTTTAGTGAGATCTGAAGAAATCTGAGGAACATTATGCTTTTTTGTCCTAATCCATTTTTTAAAATCTTGATTTCTTATGTTTGTATTAATAAATATATTTAAATGGAAACATTTAATTTAATATAAAGCTTTGAAATAAAACTTTAAAAAAATTGATTAGTGACTCGGATTGTTATTCAGAATCTTTGTGTCTCCAATTTTCTGTTTTTTGCAAATTAACTATTTAGAATTTGTTGTATTAATTTCCACAATTTATATTAATTTTGAAAATATTATAGGATTTATAACTAGAGTAGGGAGAACTAATGGATATATGTCCAGTGGCTTATGAAGACCCTTTTAACTTTAACTTATCTTTGATTTTGCTTGGATTTTAGCAGATTTTTGTTAGTGGTCATTTTTTTTGTTTTGTTTTGTTTTGTTTTGAAGAGAAAATTCTAGAAATTCATAATATTTGTTTGGGTCATGGAAGCTGAAGTTTTATTCCCTAAGAATAAACTTTGAGCTCTTGGGGGATTGTTTTTTGACCATTCTTTCATCATATTATTATAAAATATATTATTGTATATTGTATATGATATTATATAATACATAATATATTATATCATATATAATATAATATCATCATATATTATATAAAATATAATATAAACCATATAATATGGTTTTCCATATAGTTAACTTACTAAATTAAAATAAAGTGGTCCTGAAATAAGATGTACTCACCATCTCTCCCTGTGAATACATACATTAAATAAGGTTCTGTTCATGATGTTTTACCACCATTCTACTATTTTCTTTATTAAACTTGCATAGTTGTTTGAGACAACTGCTTTGTGGAAGAAAAACTTACAACAGAGAAAATTATGAGTATTATTAATCAGTCATATGTACTTTTAAACAACTGCTAGTATATGATGTTTTAAGTAGATAATATCCCAATGCATGATGTAAGAGAAAGACCGTAGATTTTATAGTTAATAAGTGAATCTAGTTTCCTCTGCTTATCATCTGTAGGAAGATTGCTTAATTACTCTCATACTCTTTCCTAAAATGAAGTTGGTAATACTTCCCCAGTAAAGCTGTTCTGAGGACTATAAGAGAAGTCATACTAGGGCTGTAGTACATGCTCGATAAAAATTTGTTCCTTCTCCTAACCTTTAAATTACTGCATTTTCTTACAACTTCTAACCCCAAAGGTTGAAACTTAGTTACTTCATAAGAGAAATGTTTATCTGCAGGAAGAGAAAAGGGCAAAAATGCCAGCCAGCTTTTTCCAAATACGTAGTAATATTTGGGATCATTAATAATACTTTGGGTGTATTGAGTCTGATTTCAGGTAATTAATGGAGATTCTAAACAACTGATTGTCACACTACTGTTCCTTAAAGTCATAGATTTGAATTGCATGCCTGCTTGTGTAACAGGCACTGTGCTGAGCAGTGGGGGATGTAGTGATGAATAGTACAGCTCTGGGATCTCTGGATGATCTTCATGCACCTGTGGAATTCCTTATATTGTAAGCGGTAGCTCTTAGTTGTATTTAATGTGTGTATTTTCTAGGGAAGTATCATAGTTTTGATAAATTCTTGATATGTTCTGTGACATGGCATTTCAGTTAACTTTAACTTAACATACTAGTACTATGTTGGACAAATGTAATGAGCTTTTTTCATCCATATAGGTCTCATATTTTTGTGAAGATTGAATGTGAAAAGCATTGTGTTACTATTCTTTGTTGTTTATTCACTAAGTGTGACATTCTTTTGTGACCCCTTGGACTGTAGTCCACCGGGCTCCTCTGTCCATAGAATTTCTCAGGCAAAAATATTAGAGTGGGTTGCCATTTCCTTTTCCAAGGAATCTTCCTGACCCAGAGATTGAACCTGCATCTCCTACATTGGCAGGTGGATTCTTTACCCCTGAGCCATTAGGGAAGCCCTATTATTCTTTTCTTTCCTCAAAATTGAGATCATAGTGGTCACTAAAATACATTAGGTACCCCAAACAATGTAGGCCATCATTCCGTTTGTCACTGATAAGATTCTTCCTGGAGTATAGTATTTAGAATTGGATGTCAAACTCTTAAGAAGAATATCAATATAGTAGAATGAGTTCTTTATGGAAGGAACCACAAGAAAATGATTTAATAAACTGAAAATACTTGATCTAGCATAAGTTTAGGGAGATCTAATTATCTGTAAACATTTAAGGAATTGATTTGCGTAAGAGTATTTCTTTCAAGGGCTCAACCTGCATCAGTGGATATAAATTATGGGGTAGTAGAACTGAGTTTATGGAGGTGAGAACATTTGTTTGTTTTATATGCAGAGAAATAATTGTTGGAAAACTGATAGATGCTATCAAAAAACATTTTCTAAACTTGCAGGTTTCAGTCTTTTTCAGAAGATAGAAGAAGGGAGAATAATTCTGAATTCATTCAATGAGGCCAGCCTTACCAAAACCAGGCAAAGATATTACAAGAAAAAATTATAGATCAGCATCTCTAAGGAACACAAATACAGAACTTTTCAAAAAATATTAGCAAATCAAATCCAACAATGCATAAATATATATATATATAATATGACCAAGTAGGATTTATCTCAGGTATATAATACTGGTTCAATATTTGAAAATCAGTTTTCACAAATCAGCAGGCTAAAGAAGAAAATATCACATGATCATGTCAATACATAACAAAAACCATTTGATAGATGCCAACACTGTTTGATGATTAGAAATCTTTAGTAACATAGGAAGAGACAGAAACGTCCTTGATTAAAAAAATGTTCTGGAAATTTCCTGGCAATCCAGTGGTTAGGACTCTGCACTTCCACTGCTGTGGGCCCAGGTTCAATCCCTGTTCAGGAACTAATATCCTGTGCGACTGCTAAAAAAGACTGATTTCCTGTGGAGGCAGAAGATAAATGCTACACAAAATTGGAAGGTTTCCAGTACTTGACTTTCAACAAAAGTGAAGGATCATCTAAAAGTTTTTGTTAGTTGAGTGTTTTAAATTATTTTTTTTAAAAGCTACCAAAAACCTACATGTAATATCTATTTAATGAAGAGAAACTTGACGTTTTTCCTATGATTAGGAACAAAGCAAGGGTATCTACTCTCTCTATTCCTTTGTAACATCATATTGGAAGTTCTAACTAGTGCAGTAAAAAAAAGGAAATAAAAGATATACACATTGGGAACAGAGAAATAAAACTTGTTGTTTGCAAATGACATCATTTTCTTTGTAGAAAATCTAAAAGAATCAACCAAAAAATCTGGAACTATTTGTACAACTAATTGTTGTAACAGTGTTGCATGACAAGAAAATTAGTACACAAAGGTCAATCACTTTGATATATACCATCAGTGAATTTATGATATCTGAAATTAAAAGCACAGTACCATTTACATCAGTGCCCCTAAAGCTGAAATACCTAGGTGTAAATCTAACAAGAATATGCACAAATCTATATGAGGAAAGAAAAGCTAATGAAAGAAATAAAGAATTCCATTATTCCATGTTCAAATATACAAGAACACTTAATATTGTCATGATATCAGTTCTTCTCAACTTAATCTGTAGTCACTGCAATCCCAATCAAAATTCCAGCAAGTTATTTTGTGGATATCAGTAAATTGACTCTCAAATTTATACTTATGTTTGATCAAGAAGCAAAAGGAATACAGTGGAGAAAAGATAGTCTTTACAAATTGTCTTGGAACAACTGGACGTCCACATTCAAAAAGCTGAATCTAGACACACACCTTTACAACCTTTACAAAAATTAACTCACAGTGAATCACAGACCTACATATAAAATACAAAACTATAAAACTCCCAAGAAGAAAGCATAGAAGAAAATCTAGATGACTTCAGGTTTGTTACAGTACCAAAGGTGTAATCCATCAAAGAATTGATGATACTGGACTTCATTAAAATTAAAAACATCTGCTCTGTGAAAGACATTGTCAACATAATGCAAATATAAATCACAGAATGGGAGAAAATTATTTACAAAAGACATATCTGATAGAGCACTGCTATTTAAATTATTATACAAATAACTTTTAAAGTCCAACAATAAGAAAACAAACAACCTGATTTAGAGTGGACCAACGACCTTATCAGACAGATGGCACATCAGCACAGGAAAAGATATACCATGCCCAATGTAATCAGGGAAATGGAAATTAAGACAACAGTGAGGTATTGCTAGACACCTACTACAGGGGCTAAAATCGAGAACAGGTTTCCCATTCGCCTGCAATGCAGGAGATGTGGTTTCCATCCCTGGGTCAGGAAAATCCCCTGGAGAAGGAAATGGCAGCCCACCTCAGTATGCTTGCCTGGAAAATCCCATGGACAGAGGAGCCTGGCGGGCTGTG